CGAAGATACCACGACCGGTTTCGACCCTTCTCAAGGATCTTGTCAGATGGTTTCCTTTGAGAAAGACAGACAGAGTTAAGGCACGACAAGCAACACAACTCAGTCTATACCATGTGAGGATATTATTATTCCTTGTTCTCATCGAACAAAGAATGATAACTTTCACACGATGAGAATGGAGCACAACATCACTGACCACTGCACATATTCTGCTCCTCTCCATTAAGTATTTCTTTTCATTGCATCGGAAATCATTCATCCTTTAACTTAAACTGTATCTAGTAACAGGCCCGTAGCCAGGATTTTTGCGAAGGGGGGGATCGACGTTTTTGTCTCCAGAGATAGTCTGAAGTAGTGGCGTAGCCAGGATTTTGTTAGTGCATGGACGTTGAAACGAATGGTTGGATAATGAATGGCTTGAGCTCACCCGGTGGCTACGCCACTAGTCTGAAGTCTTATCAACTAGCAACTTTTTCTGACGGGATTCAGTGGAAAAAAATCATTTTTTTAAAAGTCAAGGGGCTAACCGGTTCCCCAATCCCACCTCTAACTACGGCCCTGTCTAGTAACTTTCACTCAACAAACGTTAAGACAAATGTGATGGGCACCGTACTCATAGTTCAGTCTTAGGAAGTGATCACTCATTCTCTTACTAATCGTAGTTTTGGCACAATAGAAAAAGACATTATATCACAACTCTCTGTTTTATAGTGATTAACCAGCCTTAACTCTGTCTGTCTTTCTCAAAGGAAACCATCTGACAAGATCCTTGAGAAGGGTCGAAACCGGTCGTGGTATCTTTGTTTGATTGTTTCAGAAATGAGTTCTGTTTGAGTCTCTAGTAACTGATAAGTAGTTGTAAAACTAAACTAAATTAAAATGGCTAACTAACTTTGAATACTACACTAGATGAAATGACATATTTTGATGTCTTTTATTTCGGATACGTTTTCAACCTCATCAAAAAGCTATCAATAATAATGTTACACTTTATATAGGAGTATTGTACCTTTCAAGGCGCAAGAGAGAATCTCTTTTTTGTCTACTTTTAAATAACATTTGTCAACAAAAGTATTTTTCTTTGTTTATGTATAGGTCGATACAAAACTCATCAAAGCCATGGCGCATCAAATATTCCATTCAGGATTTGTCCACGCTGATCCGCATCCTGGAAATGGTAATTCTATTTTCAATTAGGAGATGGGAGGAAGAAGAAAAGTATCATTTGTGCTGGCAAAAAGTGAACATGTTCACATAATCTAATTTCACTGTTTCTAAACGTCTATGCCATTTGAAAACTATCTATACTACAAAGAAGTGCAGTGATTACCACAGACACGATAAAATAATAATCCTAACCTTATTATTTATTCCTTCGTTTGTTTAGTATACGTTCGAAAAGGCCGTGAAGGTAAAGCCGAACTTATTCTATTAGATCATGGTCTATATGAAACAATTAGTCCAAATGCACGTGAATCTCTATGTCAACTATGGAAAGCAATTTTACTCAAAGATGATGATAAAATGAAAAAATATTCTCTTGCTCTTGGTGTTAAAGGTACGTCATTTTTACTCTAATATTATCTAGAAATCAGACTACTGCACAAAATATAATTGTAGATAAAGATTACTTGACATTTTGTACATTTTTATCCATGCGTCCTATACATCGACCTATTCATGAATTGGCTATTTTACCCGAAGTATGGGATAAAATGTCATTAGAAGAACAACAAAAAGCCAGTAGGGAAGGAAAAATAAGACTACCTGTATGTGTTAGCAAGAAAGCAATCTATTTTACTACTTTATTATTATTTTTTCTTCTCTTTTTATTTATTTTTATAGAGTGAGCGTGAATTTATAACGATGTCAAATGCACGTCGTGTAGAATTTCGAAAACAATTTAAAGATATTTTTAATGATATTCAAGATAGTGTTTTAAGAGTATTGAAAGATATGCCAAGAACATTTCTCATGATTGGAAGGTAATTTACTATTAAATATATTTTGTGCAGTTGTCTGATTCAATGAACATGTGTATGTGCAAGAGAAGATGCATAATTAGTAGTTATTCATAGAGAGAAAGAGAGATGTCAATGTTTATTATAATTTTGATGTTGTTGTTGTTTTTGTCACAGTGGTGTGCATTATCTCGTGTGTTGTTGTTATTTACAGCAAAATATCATAGATTATTTGCTGAAATATTGATAATGCAACCTATGCGTACACAGCGAGGTCTTTTATTCAAACAAAAGTTAACTAAAAAAGATTTACCACCCAATTTGTGGGCAAAAATTCAAGAAAGAATTGATGATATCATGGATGTAATGAAAACCATCCCGAGTAGTTTATTATTTGTTCTCAGGTACGAACAAATATGATTCCACTTTATTTACTTTGAAACAATGTACTTCTTTTTATTGATAATCAATATATAATCTGAAACTATCTTTTGTAATCTTTTAGAAATTTAAATCAAATTCGATCAATTATACGTGATCATGGTAATTTGATTGATAGACATACTATTATGGCTAGAAGGTAAGTGAAAGATGATAAAAAAATCACTCATTTCATATCTAATTGAGTTTATCTATTTAAGCGCAATAATGGGTGTCAGAAAACATGAACTAGTCAATAAACGTCGCTTATGGATGGATCGTTTATTTAGTCGACTCGAGCTGTTTGTTTTTGATTTCATCATATAGTATGTATACAACTCTTTACTTATTTCTTTCTTAGTCTGTAATGATATTCTTAATTTTATTAGCAAAGATTACGTAGAACGATGGCTCAAGTTTAAATCTTTGCAAATGTTAGCCTATTTTGGCTATATTCCACCAGAAACATTTAATATGATTGAAGAATTTCGATAGTAGTCATATTGATGATCAAATATTTACACATGCTATTTGTATTCATCTTTAGTTGTTTGTTTAAGCTGATTTTTTTTCTCCTGTTGTTGTTTCTTTCTTTGTTTTTATCTTTTTTATTTTTTTTTATACAAGAAAAATATTTTGAGAGAGCTCTATTTTTTGGTAATAGCTGATATAAATGAAATTAATTTAAAAAAATAAAACTGAATATTCTATTTTCTGAAGGTGCATTGTCTTGATAAAATAGATATTATGAGCAGTATTTCAAAGTGGTTCTAGTTTTCTCATGAACATGCAATGTATCTACATTATATCTTTATCCATGAGAATGAATCTTTTTTTAAAATTTTGCTATGGTGGAAAGTACGTGAATACAAATCTGTACATCACATCTTACTATCAAATTGAAGTTTGAGTTTTGAGTTGCATCGATTTCATTTGACATCAAATTTTGACTGGCAGTCTAACAATGTTTTATATATGAAAATAGTATTTCAATCTTGGATCACCCATCGGATATTTTGTTTAGTACGCTATGCCATGCGATATAGAAAAGAAGAAGAAAGAGAGAAATACCCTGACCAATTCTGGTGTAGGGTAAACATAAAAAAGTTGAACAAATTAAGATTAAGATAATTAAAAGAGTCTGAGCTCAATTTGACTTATGAATGGAAGATTGCCGAAGAAAGTCACTATAAAAATTTTTCATTGAATTTCATCCGTCGAGTTTTTAAATAAACTCGATTGAAGACGAAGTCTTCATTACATTATGATGGGTACTCAGTTGTTCATGTCATTTATTCTATTAGTTACACACCATTGTTTTGTACAACTTGATATGGCTTATGATTCCTTGCGGTGAAAACTTCTTGCCGTACGAGTTGTTCGAATACGCATATTTGTCATTTCCTTTATTCAAAATGCTGGTCACTTTAACTTGAATTATAGTTTCCTGATTGTTACTAGCTGCTACTATGACCAGACTCGATGTGACTGAGTACTTTCTATCATACACTCTTCTGTGGATAGAGAATCCCTAGTTCGCTCTTGAAAATGTTTTTGTTAGCAACAGCAGTAGTATTCAATAAAATAGCAGTGGATGAAATTGTTAGTGTTGGAGATTTGATCACTCCTTGAGCTGTCCATCATTTTATGGCTCTATCTTTATGTTGGCAAACTACTACTCGAATATTCTGATGAACTGGTTGTACTTCTGTATACTTATTAGTTATTTCTCGCCCGTTGTCTTTATCTAAAAGGCGACTATGATGTTTTGACCACAAAACGGGATATACGTAGGTTTGTAGAGGAAGACTTCCTCTATCTAGTGGTGTATATATTATCAAATTCTATTGCGTACCGTGAGAGAAAATTAACAGTAACCCCTCTTTTTTTACACTTTTTTAGACATATTTTTTATTTTTGAGTTAACTATTGTGCATTATAGAGTAACGTGTCCTCTACAAAAGAAGACCACTTCCAACTCTCCAAAGCCTTTCGTTGAGGAGATACGAATTTTTTAAA